AGAGTGTGAATTAATCTAAAAAAATACTTTCTGGTCTTTGTTTAATTCAAGGTTCCTAGGATTGATTAATTGGAATTCTTTATGAAAAGAATATGAATTGATCTAGAAAAAGACTTGCTGGTCATTTTTTATTTCAAGATTTCAAGTTCTGACAATGGTCCCGTTTTTAGGCTTTCGTGAACCACCGTGTGAACTAATCTAGAAAAAGACTTTCTTGTCGTTGTTTATTCAAGATCCCAAGTCCTGACCGTTGATCTAGAAAAGCTTTCTGGTCGCGTTACTAAGCTTACGTGAACCACCACGAGGATAAAAAGGTTAAGACTTGTCACATTTTCAGGTAATTTCTTTTGCCAAACATGTTTATCTTAAGAGAGATTATATCGGGGAGAGGAAATTAAAGAGGGTAACGGTTTGTTCTAACATTTTAAGCCATTAGATCTTGTAATGTTCAAATTTCTATGAATTCTTTATTTATTTTTCATTTATGACTAATTTCCACACTTGGCTGCTATTACGCCTAAAAGAGTGCCCGCATATTAAATAAATCTAAGGTTGCTAGTTTGTATGATGGATGAACAATTAATAACGAACAGCTAAGCAATTTGTCTTTTAGCATCAAGAAAAACGAAAAATATAAATGAGATTGAATAACAGGTTATATTTTATGGATAGAGTGTGAATTAATCTAAAAAAATACTTTCTGGTCTTTGTTTAATTCAAGGTTCCTAGGATTGATTAATTGGAATTCTTTATGAAAAGAATATGAATTGATCTAGAAAAAGACTTGCTGGTCATTTTTTATTTCAAGATTTCAAGTTCTGACAATGGTCCCGTTTTTAGGCTTTCGTGAACCACCGCGTGAACTAATCTAGAAAAAAACTTTCTTGTCGTTGTTTATTCAAGATTCCAAGTCCTGACTGTTGATCTAGAAAAGCTTTCTGGTCATGTTACTAAGCTTACGTGAACCACCACGAGGATAAACTATTTGTTGAGCCACTGTAAACAAATGTTGAAATTTTCTGTGTGAGATCCGAAGATAATTTGTTTCAACCAACTCTTAGCGGCAAATTAAGCTAAATACTATAATTGAATTTTCGGAGGCATAATAATAGAGTTGAAGTATAAAAAGATTAAAACTTCTCACATTTTTAACTAATTTCTTTTGCCAAACATGTTTATCTTAAGAGAAATGATATGGGCAACGGGAGATTAAGAGGCTAACGGTTTGTTCTAACATTTTAAGTCGTTAGATCTTGTAATGTTCAAATTTTTAGAACTCTTAATTTATTATTCGTTTGTGATTAATTTCCACACTCGGCTGCTACTACGCCTAATAGAGTGCCCGCATGTTAAATAAATCAAAGGTTGCTAGTTTGTATGACGGATGAACAATAAATAACGAACAGCTAAGCAATTTGTCAATTAGCATCAAGAAAAAAGAAAAATATAAATGAGATTGATTGTTTGGTTATTCTTTATGACCAGAGTATGAATTGATCTAAAAAATACTTTCTGGTCTTTGTTTATTTCAAGGTTCCAAGGATTGATTAATTGGAATTCTTTGTGAAAAGAAACATGAATTGTCCTAGAAAAAGACTTTCTGGTCTTTGTTTATATATCAAGATATTAAATTCTGACAGTGGTCCCGTTATTGGGCTTTTGTGAACGATCATATTGACCGATCTAAAAAAAACAATTATAGTCTTTGTTTATTCCAAGATTTCAAGTTTTGACCGTTGATCTAGAACGACTTTCTGTTCGCGTTACTAAGCTCACGTGAACCACCACGAGGACAAACTATTTCTTGAGCCACTTCATATATATGTCGAAAACTTTATCTGAGATTTAAGGACAATTAAGAGGTGAATATCTTTTGTTACTATTATTACTAGCAAAAGTGTACACACACAAGGTGTGTCTCAAAAATTGACATTTAAAAGATTTTACAAAATCATCTTTGCACGAAATATTAGAATTATTAGTTGATAGAACGTACTTTTTAACAGATTGAAATAGTTGCACACATATGTATAGAAAGAAAAAAGTATCTCAATATTTTTGTTAGGTCATTTATGAGACAAAAAAATCCAAAATTTAAAATTGAAATACGGTAGAGTTGAGATAAATTTATTAATCAATATATTTAACCATTGATAGAATTTTTACAAAATAGCTCATGGAGAATATTTTTCAAAGAAAAAATTGGTTAGTACCCAGCTCTCCACTCGTCGTTCGCCTTGTTTCAAAACCCGTAGCCATTGGAGAAGCAATTCTGCTTTCTTTTCTTTTCTTTTTTTTCTTTAAAAAGCATCAATTTAAAGAATGAGAACCCGTCCAAGGCAAAGGCAGAGAAACACAGACAAACCAATTTCTTCACAAGGAATGGCTGGTGTTTACAACAAGGAGCTCTTGGGTTGGTACTTAATCACTCTCAAGCTCCGAGAAACTATGGAATCTCGACTCCCCAAGGAATCAACCTATGGGGGCAACAACGTCCCCGACAATGAGCCGAGGCCTCCCGAGTCCGAGTGGGTTGTCTCCATTGATGAGAAGCTCGACCAAGGTCGCCAGGAAAACTTGCCAGGTTCGTGGGCAAAGCTCTCCATTTACCAGTTTCCGCACTATCTTAAGGCTTGCAATGACAAAGACTGGGTCCCCCGGATCGTCTCCCTCGGGCTGTACCACCACGGTGAGGAGCACCTCCGCCATATGGAGCGGCACAAGTGGTGCTGCCTCCACAAGTGAGCGGGCGGGGGTCCGGGGAGCCGCCCCAGCGGGGGTCGCGGGTGCAGCGCCCTCGGGCTGCCAGAGGCGTTTTATGTTCAGTCATAGAAGGATTTATATGGGAAAATTAAATATTTTAGGCTATGTGAGCAACTTTGTAATTTGTGCCATGTAGGGTTTCGCTATATATATTTAGGGCGAAACAGGTCTCTAAAGATAGAAAGGGCTGTGAGAAAAAGAGGTTGTACACTTTTCTACGTTATTAGTGAAACGGATCTCATCTCCCCGTGGACGTAGGTAGGCGGAATATCTCCCCTGCTGAACCACGTAAATTCTTGAGTTGTGCGAATTTCCATTACTTTCTTGCATCGTTGATAGGATCGAATTTAGATATTCGACATATCAACTCTCTTTCGGTATATTGTGGCAGAGGCAACAAGAAGACTGCCAAGGGAAAGCGCTCCAATCACTCATTTGGCAATGTAAATGCTCTTGGTCGTTTTGTCAAGATATTAAACTTTATTTATTCTTATTGATTTTGCACGAATTTTCAAAATTTCCTTTTCCTTGTCGGAATCATGGGGATTGTGGTGTCGGCGAGGTCACAGGACAAGAAGAAAGGGAGAGGTCCTCCGCGGGTGGCTGCTCCTCCTGCCCCTTCGAGGATGACGAGGGTATCAAGATCAAAATCGATGAGTGCCTCTTAACTGGTTAATAGGAGTTGGTTTTCGACCGAAAAAAACATAAATAGGGGTTGGTTTTTTTTTTTTTTGGTGGTCTAAAGAAAGTTGTATTCATTGCTAAAATGATACATTAAAAGTACAAAGGTTTCATGACAAAACAAATTGAAACAGAACAAAACCTAGAATACTGCAAAATAAAGCCAAATTCAGAAAATAAGGAGGATCAACGGAACACCAACAAGATTAAGTACACACTCGTTCCATATGTCAATCAAAATAATCAGAACCCGATCATTGGATCTCGTATCTTCGTCAGTGATGAGCATACACCGAAAATTCTTTCTCTAATAATTACAGCGTTGCCAATTGATGGTGTGCGTCTATGTTCGGATTCCTCTACACCATCGCCGTATGGAGACAAATAAAAATAGGTTGAACAAATACAGATCTAACATGTGAAAAAATAAATTTTCGTGATTTAGTGAGACGCCAAAACTCATACAATCACTATTGAAGCTAGAGGCAGAGAACCTATACACGGACAGAGCAGAGAGGTATTGAATCTCCAAAAGCATATTTATTAAACTCTCAAATCTAAATCGAAAGATAACTCCTAGATCTAGAATTAGATCAGGAGAGTTCAAACTCTCAGATTTAGAACTAAACTGGGAGAAGAGAGCTTCCAAATCTAAATCGGAAAAGAAGAAAAAACAAGAAAAGAACAATAAAACACAATAAAATCAACAAGAGAGGAAGAGGAGGGTGAGACTAGCTCGAATCCTCCCCCATGGCTAAAGGTTGAAGAAGACAATTGTGGATTGGGTTAATGAGTAAAGATTTGTTTTACTAATATCGATCGGGTCGGGTATAAGTCAAAAAAATTGTATTTCACATAAATGGATCCATCCATTTGGCGGGCCAGTGAAAGAGAAAGAGTCCAAAGAAATTGAAACTCACTTGATAGCTTGTAAAAGAGGGTTTGACGGCAAGACACTATTTTTTTACCCGGAGATCACTTTGGTGCCATAACTTTTTTCGATCACTTTGGTGCCAAAATCGGAGAAAAAGATCACTTTAGTGACTCGCAACCCATTTGACGGGCCTAGTGAAAGAGAAAGAATCCAAAGAAATTGAAACTCACTTGATAGCTTGTAAAAGAGAGGTTTGATGGGCATAGCGATATCTAATCCGATACTATCCTTTTAACGCTGTTTCTTAAGGGGAGTGAGGCATTATCACCGATTCCTACATTCAAAATGATGCAATATTTGACTATCTATTTCTCCCATCAGTAAGTAATTAAAGTATTCTGACTTATGAAAATCTAATTAAAAGGATAAGCGGGGCAAAATAAAAAGCCCAACCATTCTGCGTGATGTAGATACAAACGGGGGGACCATATGTACGTGTGTTTCACGTGGAGCAAGAGGTGTCGGATTCCTATTGGACAGAAGAAAAGCCAGTCCAGTAATTGTTGAAAAGCCAGTCCAATAATTGTATCTCGTATTGTAAGGTGGGGCATGTTGCTTATCACACTTTCACATTATCAATATAATGACGAAATCCACGTAACGTCATTAGGGCTAGAATATTATAAAGCTCGTTTAGAATTGCGATGTTCGAAAGATCTCTCCTTTGTTCCAATATCCCTAGATATTAAAGTACCAATTCTGCTTTCTTGGTTTTTTCGGGGGCTTAGAAAGCATCAATTCATAGATCAAAACCCAAGAAAGGCAAAGGCAGAGAAACAATGACCAATTCTTCACAGGAAATGGCTGATGTGGAATCTGGAATCCCGAAGGTACAGCAAGAACCATCCGAGGCTCTCCGGATCGTGGTCGAGAACACCGGGGCCGAAAACGTACCCAAAGATGAGCCGAGCGTGTCCTCATCCGAGCGTGTCGACCCCACCATAGAGGAGCTCGAGCAACCTCGCCAGGACGACGTGGAGTCCTCATCGGCAAAGGTCTCCATTTGCCGGATCCCGCACTATCTCCAGGATGGCGACGAGAAGGCCTATGTCCCCCAGATCGTCTCCCTCGGGCCGTACCACCAGGGCGGGGAGCACCTCCGCCTTATGGAGCAGCACAAGTTGCGCTGCTTGCACCAGATCCTCGAGCGCTCCCATCACGAGAAGTGCCTCTATCTGGACTCGGTGAAGGAGGTCGAGCAGAGAGCTCGCGCCTGCTATGAGGGAACGATATTCATGAGCAGCGACGACTTCGTGCAGATGATGGTTCTCGATGGGTGTTTTGTGATCGAGCTATTCCGGGGAGTCGACGAGGGGTTCGAGAAACTGGGCTACCCTTGCAATGACCCTGTCTTCTCAAAGTGGGGATCGATGCTCAATATCCAGATCCAGCGCGACATGATCTTGCTCGAGAATCAGATCCCGCTCTTTATACTCGACCGGCTGCTCAGCCTCCAGCTCGGCGTCCCCTACCAAAAGGGGCGCGTGGTCAAGCTGGCGCTCCAGTTCTTCTCCCCCCTGACCCAGATTAGCGGAGACATGGTGAAGTCGGACTCGTCATCCGACCAGTGCGGGCTCCATTGCCTCGATGTGTTCTGGCGGAGCCTCCTGCCTTCGGGCCTGTACCGAGTGAGGACCCAGGGGTGGCGGCAGAACCGGCAACACCTCATGCGCTGCGTGACTGTGCTCCGGGAAGCCGGGATCAAGTTGTGCAACCGATATACGAACACTTTGGGGGACATCAAGTTCAACCTCGAGGACGGGATCCTCCAGATCCCCCGGCTTGGGATCCACGAAGGGACGAGGTCGCTCTTTCTCAACTTGATAGCCTTCGAGCGGTCTCACTTCGATTGCAGCAACGACGTCACCTCGTACGTAATCTTCATGCACAACTTGATCGACTCCCCCGAGGACGTCGAGTATCTCCGCAACCGCGGGATCATCGACCACTGCCTTGGGAGCGACGCCGAGGTCGCTGACCTCTTCAACCGGCTTTGCCAGGGGGTGGCCTTTGACGTCAGTGACAGTTATCTCTTTCGACTGTCTTTGGATGTGAAATATTACTGCGACTGGGGATCCCCTCTTTTCCATAGAGCCGGTAGAGGCAGAGGAGTTAGGATCGCAATGTTTTGCGAGCTCGTTTTCCGTTTTCTCGCCCATCAGCTCGCTCGCAAGTGGAGAGCCTGGGTAGCCGTTCTCAAGAACAAGTACTTCGACAATCCCTGGTCAATCATTTCCTTAATTGCTGCTTTCATTTTGCTTGTGCTTACTTTCTTACAGGCCCTTTATGCAGTCTATGGCTACTACATGCCGCGCTCTTGATTTCTCACGTAGTGGAGGAAATTATCTGACACGTAAATGTCGAACAGGATTAATTTAATTAAATTATGTGGGGGCAATTTCTTTTGTATTTTCTTTTAGTTTTATTTTTATTTATTTTTTGGCTAATCCCAATCCTAAGGTCAATCATGGATAAAGGACTATATTTTCCCCCTCTCGCAATAAATAAAATCCTAGATTGTGCCTTCGGAGTTTGGAATGACTTTGCGCAGGGCCACTGCAGCTTGAGATCTAATCTCAGGTTGATGGTATCCTCTCCACTGTTTATAACAAAAAAGTAATGGATCATATGGTTGGAGTCAAAAGCATAGGAACATAGTTATCACATGTGCAATGGACCCAAATGTTTATAACAAGTAACAGCAGACGACATTAGTGCAATAATGGTGGAATTGGGTTTATCTAAAAAAAAATGAAATGTATTGCCTCAACCAAAAATTTCCGTCACAGATGAGATTGATGACCAAGTGGTAAAAGGTTCAAACGTCTGACCCAATATTAAGAAGGAAAACGGTAATTACACCAACCTCAACTTTTCTTTTCTTTTCTTTTCTTTTCTTTTCTTTTTTCCTTCTTATAAAAAGGCCTCAACGAGTTGAGCTCAAGATTCAGCTAGCAGAGATTATAAGGCAATCGATCAATATAGGAGCTAAGAGCGTTCAAATCACGTGGATATTACACTCAGGTCGACCAATAATAAAAGCAAACCCATACTGAGCTAAGTCAGACATATCAGGTAACGTGCATTCGATTGAGGAACAGGATGAGACACCAATGGATTCGGTTTCTAGACAACACTGCACATAAAATCCGTTGAGGAGATTCAGAATCAATGAAATAGTCTCAAATAAAGCCATTCATGATCTTAACAGAGATGAGTATATCACGGTCTCTTGTTTATAGAAAGAGAGCCTGAGCTGTTACATCGTCCGCGAAACCAATTGAAGCCGCGGTTGGTGACCAAAATCAGTGAAAGGAGCTTCGGTAAGTGTCGACTACTGAAATAAGAGCCGGCGAACTTCCCTGCCGGAAAACAGAGTGGAACAGAGGAAGATAGACGTGGCGGTGGAACGGCGAACGCCATCGACCAGAAGTGGTTACAACAGCATGAAATCAATGAACAAAGCTCGAAAGTGAGAGAAATCGGGGAGTGGATAGTGTATCAACTCAGCCTCAATTGGTTTTTGTGCTCTCTGTTTCTGTAAATGCTCCCGGTTGATGGCCGGCGGGCTGGCGACGGAGATTCATCAATGACCGGAGATAGTGGACGGTGAACACCGGCCTCGACTGATGGTCAAGAAACTTCGAGAATGCCGCGGATCGAGCGAGAGTTATTCCTTTTGCTCTCCTTTTGAGCTTCTGGGCCAAGATGAATTTCCAATTCAAATAATGGGCCTGGGCCCATGAACCAAGCTTGGAGTCCGAGGCCGAATGGGCTAGTGGGCTGCGCGATTTCTATCAGGCCCGAGAAATCAGGTTCGGCCTTTCCAATTTGATCGAATTAGACCCCCCCCCCCCTTTTTTTTTCTTATTGTTATTCTCTCTCTCTCTTTTTTTCTTCTACTATTTTTTCACTATTATTACTATTTTTTCACTATTATTATTTGCAAAATTTCACTTGCCAAAAATATTCTATTTAACGACGATTGCAAAGAATCTCCGAGAATAATTCAGACAAAGAAGCGACGTTAAAGTTTTAGATTATATTTAGTTGTAAAATAATGACTAGGATACGATAAAAAGGATAAAAAAATGTAGGAAATTGTTATAACTTATTTTTTGTTTGGTAAAACATCGGATATAATGTCCGATATCGTTATAAAAATAAAAATAAAAAATATTCAAAAGAATCACTTAATAACGTCATGAAAAATTTAAAAAAAATTTGGGAGAGGAAATTGTGGGTGGATGACCATATCGAGCTACCGCAACCACGGTGGTTAGAGCAATGGTGGTGCTAGCATTTATCACAACGGTCGCCTCAAATTACAGCTATTAGTATAACCACACATCACCCAAATACATGCTTATAAAACAAATTATAATCACATATTTAAGTAATATAAGACTATAGTGAAATTCCACATTCTGTTTCAAAAAATTTTACATACTTGTGGTGTTAGTACTCTAAAAAAAATGCCATATACTAAAGATGCAATTCTTTTTTAAAATATTACGAATTGTGACTTTTTTGTCTAAGAAAAGGCAAAATGTCAAACAAAATTCATTGTATACAGAATTGATTTAGTTCACACAAATATTTAAAACCAGCTACATTGTAAGGTACCTAAGATTTTTTCTTTCTTACACATACGTCCGTGTTGCACTTCATAGATGTGCTTCTTAGAAAGTTTTAATTTGTCTTGGATTTGGATAAACAAATCATCCGATTCTCAAGATAAAATATGAGGCTAATGATGGTCCGTTATTCTCCAAAAAGCGACGGATCAGTCGAGTAATCATTTTTCTTAACCTTTCTTATTAGAAGACCTGGACTTTTCCATTTTATGCTAATAATTTTATGTAATGGATATGAAAACCTAGCAGAAAAAGTCAGTGTTGCGAGCGTTCTTTTGTTTTTGCCGAACATTGAATTAAAAGAAAAAAACTGAGTCCCCTCATGACCCCTCCCCACCTAATATGTTATATAATCCCATCATTTTCATTTTACGTAATTGAACTGGCGACGGCCCATAATGATAAGCTTGTGTGGGTAAGGTGGGGCATGTTGATCATGGATGACCCTTCACTCCAACTCCTTTCTATACATATCGCATGTGCAAAATGTTGAATTTTCGCATTGGGTGGTCAGTCAAATAATACCAATTATCATCATTATTATAACCACCATATGCGCAGACACACCCCAAGCATATCGACGCATGATGGAGATGGTGGCTCTCACGAACGCAGAGAACGAGAGCTGAGGAATTTGACTATTGGGTTCGATCAAAAAAACTGAATTCCTTTATCTGGGTTCATCTGTTAATGAGTCATTTATATCTCAATTGGGGGAATTATGTCGAAAAGAGGTAATGACCGCACCGAAAAGTTTCTGCACAGATTATTCTTTATTTTGTGGGGGCTGGTCCATGTGAGCTGCTCTGCCCAATTGATGAGATTTACCTAAGATAATCAATAAAGAAAAAAGTATACATGAAGCTCCTTTTGAATCTCCATGTTGGAAAAATCTCTCCTTTGTTCCGGTGCCCCTGGACATTGAAATACCACTTCTGCTTCTTTTCTTTTTTGTGTGGGTGTGCGCGCTTAGAAAGCATCAATTCAAAGATCAAAACCCAAGAAAGGCAAAGGCAGAGAAACATAGGGCACGAGAAATGGTTGCTGTTTACAACAAAGAACTCTTGAGTTGGTACTTAATCACCCTCAAGCTCAGAGAAACTGTGGAATCTGGACTACCCAATAAATCAACCTCCAATGCATCCACGGAATTAACAGATCAGCACCACCAGCAAGAACAGCCTCAGGACCACCAGATTCGCAAGCTACAGCAAGAACCATCCAAGGCTCTCCAGATCGTGGTCGAGAATGACGGGGGCGAAGATGAGCCAAGGCCGCCTCAGTCCGAATGGGTCATCTCCATCAGAGAGAAGCTCGAGCAAGCTTGCCAGGACGACGAGGCCTGCTCATGGGCAAAGCTCTCCATTTATCGGATCCCGCACTATCTCAAGGATGGTGAGGACAAGGCCTACATCCCCCAGATCGTCTCCCTCGGGCCATACCACCACGGTAAGAAGCGCCTCCGCCAGATGGACCGGCACAAGTGGCGCTGCCTATACCGCATCCTCTCGCGCACTGGTCATGAGATAAGCCTCTATCTAGACTCGGTCAAGGAGGTCGAGGAGAAAACTCGTGCCTGCTATGAGGGGATGATATCCATGGGCAGCAACGAGTTCGTGGAGATGATGGTTCTTGACGGGTGCTTTGTGATTGAGCTATTCCGGGGAGTCGCTGAGGGGTTCAAGGAACTCGGCTATTCTCGCAATGACCCGGTCTTCTCGATGCGGGGATCGATGCACACGATCCAGCGGGACATGATCATGCTCGAGAATCAGATCCCTCTTTTCATACTCGACCAGCTGCTCGGCCTCCAGCTTGGCGACCACAACCAGAAGGGGCTCGTGGCCAAGCTGGCACTCAGGTTCTTCGACCCTCTGATGCCAACAGACGAGCCTTTGACCAAGCTTAGCCGCAACAGGCTTGAGTCTCTTGGCTACACCACCACCTTTGACCCGTTATCTGACCAGGGCGAGCTCCATTGCCTCGAAGTGTTCCGGCGGAGCCTCCTCCGCTCGGGCCCAAAGCCAGAGCCGAGGGCATGGATCAAGCGATGGTCTCACTCCAACCGGGTCGCCGACAAGAGGCGGCAGCAGCTCATCCACTGTGTGACGGAGCTCCGGGAAGCCGGGATCAAGTTCAGAAAGAGGAAGACGGACAGATTCTGGGACATCCAGTTCAAGGACGGGATCCTCTGGATCCCGCGGCTTCTAATCCACGATGGGACGAGGTCGCTCTTCCTCAACTTGATAGCCTTCGAGCAGTCTCACTTCGATTGCAGCAACGAAATCACCTCGTACGTAATCTTCCTGGACAACTTGATCAACTCCCCCGAGGACGTCGGGTACCTCCACTACTGCGGGATCATTGAGCACTGGCTTGGGAGCGATGCGGAGGTCGCTGACCTCTTCAACCGGCTTTGCCAGGAGGTGGTCTTCGACATCAATGACAGTTATCTCTCTACACTGTCTGCGGAGGTGAACAGATACTACAACCATAGGTGGAATGCCTGGAGAGCCAGTCTCAAGCACAATTACTTCAGCAGTCCCTGGGCAATCATTTCCGTCATTGCTGCTTTCGTTTTGCTTGTGCTTACTTTGGCACAGACCTTCTATGGAGTCTATGGCTACTACAGGCCGGGTTCTTGATCTCTGCAGTTTTTCAGATTAGTTCTCACTCGGTTTTCCTCCCAGGGAACATGTCCCTGAAAGATTTTACTCAAAAAATTTCATTCAAAATCTGTTGCTTTTTCTTTAATTTTTTGTGCTTGTATTGAAATAGAATTGTAAGATACAGAAAGGGAAACAACAAATATTTAGTTTGTACAAGTATCGTTTTTGGCTGAGATGCGAGTCCTGTCAGAATGTCCAAACGGTTTGTATGCAAATAGATTTGTTCTACCAATTCCTAAAAGCCTTGTGCCATTAGAACAGACCTCCAAGCCTCCTAACAACTCCACGAGCATCTTAAAGCAGCTTTCTGGTAAACCCCTCCTATCTTAAATAAGAACAAATCATGGCTGGCAGTATACGTAATGTGAACTCATGAAAGGCAAACAAGAGAGGGACCCTGAGGTGGCCAAGGCAGCCACTTTCATTGTCTACCCGAGAGCAGAAACAATCTTAGCCTCCACAGAAGGTCGTCGTCTAAAACAACACCATTACCAATTCATGCTATGGAATCCTCCCTCAATGAACCTGCAAGTACAGACATCCGACTCTGATATTCATCCTCGTTCGAGCACCAAGAGAAATCCAATAATAGTGTTTGAATAAAGAAATCATGAGGATTTCAAAGCTAATCCATTTTACAACAGTACATCCTCTCGTAAATCGGCCACGCAACCAAAATGGGCAAGGGACAGTTTATAAAGGACAAGCGGAGACAAACACATAATAGGTAACAAAAAGGGAACTGAGAACTTCAGCTATATTAAAATGACAGCAGTACAAAAAATGCCATGTCTAAAGAACAAATTGGGACTACCCCTTACTAAAGCTAAGATAGAAAAAGTACAATAACTTCACTCCTCTTGAGAAGTTTCCATGATGGTTTCTGTAGGCTTATCTATAAGATCTCTTTCAGAAAGGTGGAGTATCAGGCAACATGCCAAATTAGTCTTTGATCCAATCTTTTGCTGTGAGAAACCTCCATCTGCTGGCATGACACCGGGAATAAGAGAAGCCTACTTGAGAACTATAGATAAATCATACTTGAAATATTTAATCCCTCGGAAGGCTCGCACTATCAGTTGAAGATGCTCTCTTTCCATCATAGCGCTGATGAAAAAGAAGTAGATTCAAAAGGCAAAATAAGCATACATACCAAAGAGTTGCAGAAGCAGACAGGCAGAAAAAGAGAGAAAATAAGGTTCAGCATACCCGTTTGCCAAAAGTGAATGGGACATATTTGTATTTGACCATAAGCATTATCTGTCTCCTCATTGTAAGCGTAAACAACATGACCCAGTAGAAAAGGAGTACTGGCCAGAAGACAGGTACGTCGAACACGCTGAAGAACGTCATCATGAAAGCAATCACAAATGCCCATGTGATTTGTAACCTTCCATTGAGAGACAAGAAGAATATGTTCAATAAGCAATCACAAATGCCCATGAGTTAAACAATTAGTGTATGAAATTCTCGATTTAGAGTGAAACATTGTTTGGTTTTGAATCAATTAAATGTCAAGAATATTGCCAGACAAAGATTGTTAAAAAAAAAGGCTATACATCTGAAAGGACATAAAAGAAGGAAACATATCATCACAGGGAGAATCTGAGCTTCTCAATTCACTCCTGGAGTTAACTTTACATTGTCAGTTTCAATCTTCCCTCATGAACAAACTCAAGCATCCACATGTAATTAGAAAGAAAGACCGCATACAGAGCAGATCAAGAATGCTGGAACAGTAAAATCATCTCAAAAAGGCATTTTTACATCATGGCAAGCATTTTTAAAACCAGTCTCAATCTGAGAACAAGCAACCGCTCTGTAATAACAAAATGCAAACATGAAACCGAGACACCATGACGCTACCACACCATTCAACTTCTTCAGTTGCCAGATTTTGAATCTAGTCACGAGACCTCCGGCGCCTCTTTTTCACCCCAACCCAGAAAAAAACATTACATTCTTAAAACTTAATAAACACCAATTTCACCGATCTCTCACAAATTCAAAACTATTCCATTTCCTCCAAGAGATCCCAATTGAAGGCAAAAATCATCACACCAATCGAATCCTTCCACTTGAAGTCAGAATACCCAGAACACACAATTCCATCTTTCTCCTCCAGAATGAAGCAGATCAATTCCATCAAATCCAATCAATAGCAAATTGTACTAACCAATACCAAAGTGACCCCAAAATCAACTTCCACTGAGAAAAACTAGGATTGGTCTTAAATAGAAAAGCATCACAAAACATTCCCTAAACGTTAAACACACGAACTTTGCCAATCTCTCACAAAATTCAATCTATACCGTCTTCCTCCAAGTTATCCAAACTTGAAGGCACAAATCGTCAACTACAACGAGTCTTTCCACCCCCGAAAATACCTCTAATTCCGAATACCAGGAACACACAATTCCATCTTTCGCCCCCGAAATGACGCAGATCAAATCCACCGAATCAAAATTGATAGCTAATTGGCAATTTACCAATCGAAAATAATAATGCGAAGCGATCCCAACCGCGAACCTACCAACACTTGAACTCGGGGAGGCGGCGGACGAAGGGCCTGAACTCGTCGGAGCCGCGCGTGGGGAGGGACGGGCCGGGACCGCCGCCGCCGCCGCCGCCGTCGGCGAGCTCCGGGTCGACCTGAGGGGAGAGGAAGCCGATGAGCAGGTTCAGCATGTAGATGCCCAGCCCGTACGTCACGATGTAGAAGCCCTGCAAGAAGTAGACCCGGACGAGGTACACGCACGCCACCGCCAGCGTCGCGATCCACCGCCGCGACAGGTGCGGCACGGACTTGTCCAGGAGGTGCTGGTACCGCTGCGAGACGGCGGCGGCCCACCGCGACGGGGCGGCGGAGGAGGAGGGGCCGTCGGCGGAGGTGGAGGTGCCCGGATCCATCATGGTTTGGTTTTATTCCCCTGGTGGGTCGACGCGATCGACGGTGCCTAGTCTTTCCGGGTGCGCGTTTTCGAGCGTTTCGTGGATCTCTCTGTTTTCTTTTATGTCGGAGGGGGGTCTGGTCGCTGTGCATCGCGGATCCTTCTATGGTGTGTCCTGGTTTCGAGCGGGTATGGACGATGCGGCCCGATTGTTTATCCGACGGGTTCGGGTCGTGGATCCGGCCCGGTTACCCCTTCCCCTATATCGTCCTCCCTCTAAATTTTTTTTTTTAGGAAAAATGGCGCATATGGTACGTGTAGTTTAGCCGAATTCGCAACGTGATTCATGAACTTTTAATTTGTTCAATATGATTCACGAACTGTAGTAGAATGTGCAACGTGAATTTAAATTTCAATTTGTTAAATGTGATCCCTCAAATTTCGATACATATTCAATTTAATCCATAAATTATATGAAAATGTTCAAAATTGTCCAATAATTTAGGGACTAAGTTGAATATAAATCAAAAGTTTAGGGATAAGTTCAGAGATCACGTTGCACAATGAATTAAAATTCATGAGCTATTTCTGTCATTATCCCCTATTTTTTTATGCAATGAAATTTTGAGACACGCCCAATATAGACGGTCAAATCCTCTCGTCATCCAATGTTATTGATAATGTTAAGTACAACGCTTACGTGACCGGCGGCCAATCTTGAGGGTGCTCCCCGCCCCTTTCTTGCTTAAAAATTAAGCGGAAAAAAACTTTTGTAAGGGGAATTATATATATAATTAGTGAAAATTATATTGTCCCCTGACCCTTTTTCGATCCTTGATTTTATGTAACGCTACAAATTAAGAACAAAATAAAGATGAAAAGAAAGAGCAATGAGTAGAGTGATTAAGTTTCGTGTCGTCGATGAACTAAACGGAGCCTTAGAATTGTGATTTGGACAATTAAGTCCTTGAACTTATACATTGAGCTTGGTTGCTTCACAAGAAGAGGAATGGGCGATTCCTTCGCTTAATGGAATCCACCTTTCCTCATTTTTTTTCCGAAAGATATGAAGATTTATATGTAAGAAATATTAATAGTTAAGAAATATGATTTATTATAATATTCAACAGTCAATTAGTCAATAAAAAATATTTTCCTTATCGACGATAATGTACATTTATGAATGAGCGATACAAATAATCACTTTTAGAAAAATATTTTCAAAATTATTCATTTTTTTGCGAAACAAATTGAATCCCGGTAGGCTGGTATTATATCGAAAAATAACACAAGTAGATAAACGAGGACTTTCTCAAATTTCAACTAAAAGAGGCATGAGCTTTGCTTCTATTTTCAATTAAACTTGGCTTTGATCTATGTTAAGTATAAACTTTTGGTGTCATTGCATTTCTTTAACTAAAAAAACGAAATTCCTAATAGTTAAGACATATGATTTATTATAATATTCAACAGTCAATTAGTCAATAAAAAATATTTTCCTTATCGACGATAATGTACATTTATGAATGATGAAACTTTTTTTTTAATTTTTATGAGCGATACAAATAATCACTTTTAGAAAAATATTTTCAAAATTATTCATTTTTTTGCGAAACAAATTGAATCCCGGTAGGCTGGTATTATATCGAAAAATAACACAAGTAGATAAACGAGGACTTTCTCAAATTTCAACTAAAAGAGGCATGTGCTTTGCTTCTATTTTCAATTAAACTTGGCTTTGATCTATGTTAAGTATAAACTTTTGGTGTCATTGCATTTCTTTAACTAAAAAAACGAAATTCCTAATAGTTAAGACATATGATTTATTATAATATTCAACAGTCAATTAGTCAATAAAAAAATATTTTCCTTATTGACGATAATGTACATTTATGAATGATGAAATTTTTTTTTTAATTTTTATGAGCGATACAAATAATCACGTTTAGGAAAATATTTTTAAAATCATTTGTTTTTTGCGAAACAAATTGAATCCTAATAGGCTGGTATTATATCGAAAATTAACACAAGTAGATGAACGAGCACTTTCTCAAATTTCAACTAAAAGAAGCATGTGATTTGTTTCTATTTTCAATTAAACTTGGCTTTGATCTATGTTAAGTATAAACTTTTGGTGTCATTGTTTTTCTTCAACTAAAAAAACGAAATTCCCGGGAAAAATGGCTTAAACTGGTAGTGACCGGACTTTGAAGTCCGCCATTGTCTTCGTGCCTGCATTCCCTCGGGGAAGGACAACGCTCTCTCGCTCGCTCTTTCGTTCCAGTGGATCTCAGCATTCTTGTTAAGCGATCTGCACGTAAGCATCGTTCTTGTTTCTCCATCTTCTACACGCATTTTCGAAATGCGTATCGATTCTTGATCTGTATGGATCAATGTTTGCACCCTTTAGCCTTCTTGTCCAGATCTCGCTCTTTCTCTCTGTTTTTTCCGTCTCTGAAGACCTTCGATGAACAAAGATTTTTTAATGCTTCACGAGATCAACTTGGTTGGGCATGGCCTCAACCAAATAAATGGTGTTTAACGTGTTTATGCAGACGTCATTCCTTTATATCTTGATAATTTGCCCGAGAGATCCCCAAGATTTGTTGTTTCTCATGCCCTGTTTGTCCAATGCTTATTAGTCAACGAGGAAGGCCTCTTTAATTGTGTTGATGTATGCTATTTGAAAATTTGGGGGCTTCAAGGATCAGGGCTACGCAAGTTAAGTTAATCTGAATACCCAGAAATGAAGTTTCGATTCAAAGAAGATTGATTGTTTGTTCTTTATTGTTGTTCGGAAGAGCTGTTTCTAATTTCTGAATAGGAAGGCTAGATCTCCGGTGACGTAATCTTATCAATGAATTGTTTGTGATGGGATGCACTAATCATACAACAGAAGTTTGTCGCGCAAGTGTCACTGCACATTTTACTTAGGCTCGATCTTGTGGCCTAGCTGCTTATGAGCATCACTTGTCATGACCGACCTTGAATGCCAACTGATACATCCACGATGTTATGTCGGCTCTGAGGGGTAATGCTAATTGCTGATCGTGAAGCAAGTCCAGCTTCCTCGAACTCTCTTCTCTTCAATTACCTCTATATGTTGTTCCAAGTGACTATTTACTAGCCATCTGACTAATGGTGGTGACTGTCTTTTTCCGTAAATCTTTTTCTGCCAATTATATCAGAAGGTGTATAGATTGGATGATGGTGATGTGCCCTATGAGTAGCTTGTAAGATTCAAACAATACATGCTTCAAATTGCTGGTCTAACTTGGATGAGTTACAGCTTTTGATCATTGCATTTGGGTGGCAAAATGGAGGCCAAACCAGTGGACTCATCATCTCAATCTCCTTCCACTTCTTCTGAAGATAAACCCACTGTCCCTAGCGTTGCCCGGACAGAGACCCCTTCCTATGAATTGCCATCTTTCTTATCTGCCTCCAGCATATCATCTTGGACAAGAAATTTGAAACTTCCGCAGCCTATAGCAACTTCAAAGGACAGTTCACAGAGTCCGAATTCAGGGATTGGGACACTAACAAGATTTGCCAATGGCATGGGATTTCGATTACCCGCAGGAACTCCTACAACAAATGAGGCCGTTCAAGGCACCTCAGAAAATGCTCAATCTGGTGTCCTTGGATCAGTTGCAAAAGGGTTGCTTGACTCATCCCGCAATGCTGTGAAGGCTGCGCAGGTCAAGGCACGTCATGTTGTCTCTCAAAATAAGAGGAGATACCAGGTAACACTAATATGTTTGGTGGATCATTTCATAATCATATAAGCCTTGTAGGAAATGAACAACTAGCATGACATGGAGGGAAGTTACAAGTAGGGTCCTTGCACTTAGTTCCAGGAAAACCCTGTCCAAGAGACCATGGCAACAGCCCAAATCATAGGTGTTTATATAGCAATGTTTGTATTTCATGGATCCAAATTAAATCTTCAATCTTAATATCTAAAGGAATGAGTTGAGTCAATACTAGCAGACTCTACTGAAATATGCATTTGAAAACACGAAAGTTAAGTAGTAATCACCATCAGAAGAGGCTGGGTGTAGGTATTTTGAATGGAGGTCTTGTGTAAATTGTCACACATGAAACTGGTGGAGAAGAGCTACGGATACTCCATATGCATATTCTCCAAACTGGTGGAGAAGAGCTTATCATTCTCTTTTATGAATATATAATTTCTCTGTTATAAATTGGTGGTTGCTTTATTGAGCGTAACTTCGTGTTATTTTCACTTTTGTGCGGTCACGGACATTCTTTTTGTCTCTTTACACAACTATTTGTCTGCGCTAGTAACTCTTATGTATGCTCATTTGGTAGTATGTGTAGTCTTTCTACTATGCTAATCATGCCATGTACTTAATAGGAAGGAGGATTCGATTTGGATATGACTTATATCGCTGAGAATGTAATTGCAATGGGATTCCCAGCTGGAGATATAAGCTCAGGTCTATTTGGATATTTTGAGGTGAAAAGCTCAGCCAGAATTTAATATTTTTGTTCAAACTCAGACATTCTGACAATATAGTAACTGAAGCTTATTTTCCAGGGCTTTTATCGTAATCACATGGAAGAGGTGATTAATTTTTTTGAAACACACCACCAGGTAATGTTATCTTTCAAACAAGCCATTTCTATGAGTTATTTGTTTAAATTTTTTTTGTCATGCTCTTTTCCCCCCTATGTAACGCGCTTCCAGAAATCCGTATGTTGATCTACACTGGGATCTGAAAATCTGCACATATTTCACGGTAAGACGTGATTGAGGAGTCAGATGAGTTCGATAACGTTTGCTGAGTTTGCAGATAATTCTGTTGTAATCATTCAAAAGTAGCCACGGTGTAACAAAGCTTTTATGTGAACATAGGTTTGTTCTGTTACATCAAACATTTTCTTTCTAACAAAATGAGATGGTGTCCAGAAATGAGATGATCTTCCCGAAATTTACCATTAGTACTAAACAACTTTTTTTTAGCTTCAATATCTAACAGGAAAACTACAGATAGGTTGTCACTTTCCATTCTTGGAACTTCTTATCCATGACCTTGTCAGGGTGGCTGCTTCATTTTTACAAGATGTGAGAAATTGCGTAATTTCGCCTTAATGATGGATATAGTAGATCCACTCTGTTT